TTCGAACCTGCCAGCTCAGGTGTATGTGGCTGGCACCTTAGGCACTTGAGCCACAGGCATCGAGCCTGGAAATTCTTATAATGTAAAGCAGGATAGGACAGTTTTGTTGGAACACTTCATTCTTTTTTTTCTTTCTTTCTCTCTGTTATAATTTATGTAAATTATGTTTTCAGAATGAAAAGGCTCCAACTTCACTATACCATGCTCTCTTAGTGACAATTTATCTATCTTATTTCCAGGTGAAAATGTTATCACATGTATAATAGCTAAGAAGCCCTGAGCTGCAAGGTTTTTCTAACTGTGACAGAGAAGATCATGACACAGTTAAATGACTTCATATACTATGCAATTTTTAGGATTTTCAAGTTATTGCTATTTCTTCCCCAAATATGAAAGCTATAAAATATATGTTGACTAGTTATCTACTTATAGCAATAATCCATTTTGAAGCTAGGTTTGATTTCTGAAGGTAAATGTATTAGGTTAGCCAAATAATCTATGGATGTTTGGGAACAACCTATTGATGGTGATTTTCTATACAAGCAGGATCCTATGATTTCTGTCTCAGCTTCCCCAGAGGAAGTAGAAGTAATTCTCTAAAAACAGTAGAGCCTCCACCCTGACCACTCCCTACATTGACCAACTCCTCAAGTTGACTTAATTTTCATAGACCAGACGTGCACCACAAGTACATATCAGTACAGTAGCCTAGTTCCTTATGTTGGTACTCTTCAGATGTTGACCAGTTTGTTACAGTCCCATGAGTGGTCAACTTACAGAGGTTCACTGTACATAGAAGAGGCATCATCCTAATAATGACCACATGTATGGGTTATAGGGTTAAGGTTAATTCCAATGCCTGACTAGATAGTAAGCATAAGCTTGATTATTTTCCTCAGGATACTGTAGTTGCTCTCCAAGCTCTTGCCAAATATGCCACTACTGCCTATGTTCCATCTGAAGAAGTCAACCTGGCTGTAAAATCCGCTGAGAATTTCCAGCGTAATTTCAACGTACAGTCCACCAACAGATTGGTGTTTCAGCAGGAGACTCTGCCCAACATCCCAGGAATGTACACCTTGGAGGCCTCTGGCCAGGGCTGTGTGTATGTGCAGGTGAGCAGAGATCCATGAGAAGTAGCGAACACTGGAAGGGAGAACCCCAGGGCATCTTTGCCTCAAGTAGAGATTTTCTCTTTATCTTATTTGTAAGGAAAGTAGTTTGGACTGTGAAATCCTTAAAGTTCTTCCCAACTCTGACTGGTTACCTGTTTCTTCCTGCCAGACGGTGTTGAGATATAATATCCTCCCTCCTAAAAACACAGAATCCTTTAGTCTTAGTGTGGAAATGGGAAAAGCTAGATGTGAGCAACCTACTTTACCTCGATCCTTGCAGCTCACTATCCACACCAGGTGAGGAATGCTGGAGTGGCATGGAAGGGAGGGTGCCTGGGTCATAGAAGTTGAGCTGGGATGTGTGTGTGTTGGGGATGCATAGTGAAGTGAAATAATAGGCTCGCAAAAGACAAAAATAAAATAAAATAAAAAGGAAGTAATAGGCTCACATGTTTGCTTCTTTTTGCCCTCAGTTATGTGGGGAGCCGCAACTCTTCCAATATGGCTATTGTGGAAGTGAAGATGCTATCTGGGTTCAGTCCCCTGGAGGGCACCAATCAGTTAGTAAGTTGCTTCTCTTTTCTTTGTTTATCTAGCTGCAAAGGGACCTATCATTATCATCAAAAAGCCAAAAAAACCAGTGAAGTGGCATGATGGTGTACACGTGCCTCATGATTAGAGAATCTAAATGGCTACAAAGGTGCATCAGATATATGGAATAGAACTTGTAATAGTCTTTATTCCTTTTTCCTACTTGTTCACAGTATACGTTTCTTTGATCATGAGGGAGCTTTGGAACATTTCTCTAGGGGATAGGGTAGGCTCTGGCTCTTATGTTTTTCTTTTTCTTATCAGCTTCTCCAGCAACCACTAGTGAAGAAGGTTGAATCTGGAACCGATGTACTTAACATTTACTTGGATGAGGTAGGTATTCAGGAACTAGACCAAAGAGCTTACTTGCTTATGTATTTTTCAGACTTCCTTTCAATCTCAGTATACCGGTGTCACATACACAGGGATAGGGGACCTGAGAGAGTGAGTCCACAATCATGAAACGAGTTCTCCCTCCATGCTGGTATAACACACAACACACTACTGTACCTCTAGGGGAAAGCATCCAACAGGTTTATAATGGGAGCCATTGATGGAATTAAAAAAAAAATTTTTTTTTTGAGACAGTCTCACTCTGTCACCCTCGGTAGAGTACCATGGGTGGTGCATAGCTCACAGCAACCTCAAACTCTTGGGTTCAAGTGATCCTCCTGCCTCCACTTCCCAAGTATCTGGGACAATAGGCTCTTGTCATATGCTTAGCTGGTTTTTCTACCTTTTTCTTTTTTTTTTTTAGTAGTGACAGGGTCATGCTCTTGCTCAGGCTGGTCTCTTGAACTCCTGAGTTCAAACAATCCACTCACCTCAGACTCCAAGAGTGCTAGAATTATAGGTGTGAGCCACCAGGCCTGGCCACATTTATTTTTTTTTGTAGAGACAAAGTCTCACTTTATCACCCTCTGTAGAGTGCCATGGCATCAAACAGCTCACAGGAACCTCCAACTCCTGGGCTTAAGCAATTCTCTTGCCTCAGCCTCCTGATTAGCTGGGACTACAGGTGCCCACCACAACACCTGGCTATTTTGGGGTTATAGTTCTGCCGGGGCCGGGTTTGAACCCGCCACTCTTGGTATATGGGACCAACGCCCTACTCACTGAGCCACAGGCACTGCCCAGGCCTGGCCACGTTTAAAAATTTCTAGTAGTTACATCTTTTTTTTTTTTAATGGGACAGAGTCTTACTCTATTGCCCAGGGTAGAGTACCATGACCTCAGCATAGTTCACAGTAACCTCAAATTCCTGGGCTCAAGTGATCCTCCTGCCTCAGCTTCCCAAGTAGCTGGGACTACAGGCACTTGCCAAAAAGCCTAAGTAATTTTTCTATTTTTAGTAGAGATGGGCTCTTGTTCTTGCTCAGGCTGGTCTCAATCTCCCAAGCTCAAGTGATCCACCTCACCCTCCTAGAGTGTTAGGATTACAGACATGAGCTACCACACCTGGCCAAGTAGGCACATTTTTAAAAGTAGAAAAACAGATGAAATTAATTTTAGTAATATATTTTAGGCAACTGTATATACCCCATAATATTTCTATTTTACTATATAATAATATATCAAAGTATCAATGAGAAATGCACATTTTTTTTCTGTCCTACATCTTTGAACTTCAATATATATTTTACATGGTCAGCACATCTCAGTTCTGCCTGGCCACATAGAGCGCTCAGTAGTTGCAAGTGACATTGCAGTTATAGAATACAATAGAGTGGTTAATAGCAGAAGCTTTGAAGCCAGACTGCCAAGGCTGCATCTTTGTTCCAGCACTGGCTGTGTAAGCAGACAATTATAGAGTGTCAGCTGTAAAATGAGTGTGGGGAGTGGTAAAAAGTTATCTATCTCATAGAGCTCTAGAAAGAATGAAATTATTTAAGACCATTAAAAATATTTAGAACTAGTCCTAGTATGGAGTATTATTTTAAGGTAATGTTAATTTTCACTAATATTAATTAAACATTCTATATAACCTTTCATTTCAACAAAACAAGTTCTGGAAGACTAGTAATACTGCTCTAAAAACTGTTACAATGCCTTTTTTCATGATATTCTGCAATATATAAGGAACAAAATATTCTTACTGTATAATCAACAGACAAGAGTGTCCCAAATCAAAATTTTCTGTTAGCTGGGCACAGCAAGGCACACTTGTAATCCTAGCACTCTGGGAGGCTGAGACCAGAGGATTGCTTGAACTCAGGAGTTGGAGAACAGCCTGAGCGAGAGTGAGACCTCATCTCTACTAAAATAGAAAAACTAGCTGGGCATTGTGGCAAGTGCCTATAGTCCCAGCGAGTTGGGAGACTATTGCCTGAGCTCAATAGACTGAAGTTGCTGTGAACTACAATGACACCAGGACACTCTACCCAAGGTGACAGAATAAGAGTCTATCTCAAAAATATACTTTTTTTTGCTTTTGTTAGTAACATGCATTTCCAACGTCCCTGCTCATCCACCAACCCATTCATCTGTGGTTTTGGTTTTTGTTTTTAACTTCCAGGATCCAGGGTTTTGCCATTTTGAGTGAGCCCTCCATAGTTTCTTTTGAGACAACTCTGGTTAGTCTATCAGGAACTACCCTGTAATCATGATGTTGCAGTTTAAAACTTAAAAAATTTATTATGCTTTTGTACACACTGTATTTGAGTCTCATAGCAACCCTCTTTATACACGAACATAAGGAAACTGAGGATGGAGTAATAGAGTGGCTTACCCAAGTCAGTAGCAGAAGTGGGCATAGAACATGGGGTTCTAACTTCCACCATGCCATTCCTGAGACTGTAATGACCTCTTCCTCAGTGTACCCTGCCAAATTTGTCAATCAGCTTCGAATTGGAAGCCTCAAGTCGAATGACCTAAAAGCCAATGTTCATGATTATAGGTGTGGTTATTTCTCCTTTTCTGTGTATCTTCTTTGTTTTTCTGCTTGATCAGTTTCAACAGAGGACAATCTTATTCACATTTATATTCTTCTTTGTTTTTTAATGAATTTAAACTAAAAATTTCCATTTAAGTTCATCCCAACTCTTGTCACAATTTTAGACAAGTAGTGTTTCACCATTTAGTTCTATTCCTTAATTTTATGGGAAATGCATGGAATTTTTCATAGTCATCTTTTTATTTTTAATTTCTAACATTGTGGTTTGACTATAGTCTTTGTGATTATGATCCTCAAGAATGTACTGTCGTTTCTTTTGTGACCTATTTTTGTAAATGTCCAGTGTTATGAGCCAAAAGAATGTCTTACTCTTTTTCTCTTGGGTACGGATTCTGTTCTAGATGAAAAATCCAAGATCATTATTTCTGTTATTCATGTGTTTAATAACTCTGCTTATTTTTCTGCTTAATTTAAATTTCTGAAAAGGGTAGTTTAAATATCCAATTGTAATGTTTGATTTATCCATTTATTTATACATATCTATCAGTTTTTCCTGATATATTTTGAAAGTACATAATTAAATGCATTTGTTTTTGTGAATATGTCTTATTCAGTTATCCTTTTTTTCGTATATACTATAGGTGTATTAGTTTTTTTTCCCTATTATATATATTCTTATATATACATTGTATGTTTTGGCCTTAGATTCCTACATACACACACATACTTTCTTTGGCCTTAGATTTCATTTGGTCAGATATCAATTTAGACTGCTATCCCAGCTTTCTTTTGTTTCATATTGGTCACTTACTTTAAACCCTTATGGTAACCCAATGATGGGCAAAAACAGTGCTTCTGAAATTTTTTGCTTTCAAGATCTCTTTACACTCTTAATTTACTGATGACCTCAAAGAGCTTTTGGTAATGTTGATTATAGCTATTGGTATTTATTTATTTACTTTGAGACCAAGTCTTACTCTGTTGCCCTGGGTAGAGTGCCATGGTGTCGTTGTAGCTCACAGCAACCTCAAACTCCTGGGTTCAAGCTATCCTCTTGCCTCAGCCTCCTGAGTAGCTGGGACTATAGGCATGTGCCACCATGCCCAGATAGTTTTTCTATTTTTCTTTTAGTAGAGACAAGGTCTCACTCTTGCTCAGGCTGGTCCCAAACTCCTGAGCTCAAAAAATCCACCCGCTTCAGCCTCCTAGAGTACTGGGATTACAGGTGTGAGCTATAGCTCACTGGCTATAGCTCCATATGTAATTTATAATGTAAATATTATTTTCTTGCTAAGTCAATTTATACAACTATCTTAGAGGCTACATTTATTAATTTATTCAAAAAATATTTATTAATCAACCAATATAGGCCAGACATTTTATGGAGTAGTGGAAATATAGTGATGAAAACAGTAGACATAGCTGGGTGCTGTGGCTCATGCCTGTAGTCCCAGCACTCTTGGAGGCTGAGGCAGAAGAGCACTTGAGCTCAGAAGTTCCAGCAAGAGTAAGACCTCTCTTCAGAAAAAGAGAAAAATTAGCTAGACGTGGTGGCATGTGCTATAGTTTGAGCTACTCAGGAGGCTGAGGCAGGAGTATCAGGTGAACCTAGGAATTTGAAGTTGCTGTGAGTGATGATCATGCCACTGCACTCTAGCCTGGGTAACAGAGAAAGACCTGTCTCAACAACAACAACGAAAATAGACATGATCCCTGCCCTCTCAGAGCTGATATTCTATTGGAAAGAAAAACGATGTTCAAGTTTTTAAAAATTACATGTATATACACATACACATATATTTTCTTCTATTTCCTGTAGTGATTTTAGTAGTAATAAATGCTCTGCAAGGTAAAGGTAGAAAGAGTACTTATGGGGTAGGTCAGGTATGTGACTATTTCATTTATCTACTTAATTTTTAGAAATAGGGTCTCGCTTTGTTGCCTAGGCATATATGATATCTTCATGGAGTGCAGCGGCCCAATCATAACTCACTGTACACTCGAATTCCTGGGCTCGAGCAATCCTCCTGCTTCAGTCTCCCAAGTAGCCGGGACTACGGGTGCCAGCTACAATGCCAGACTCATTTAAAAAATTTTTTTGTATAGATGGGTTTTCCTATACTGCTCAGGCTAGTTTCAAACTCCTGGCCTCAAGCAATCCTCCTGCTTCAGCCTCCCAAAGTGCTGGGATTATAGCTGTGAGCCATTGTGCCTGACTGGTGTGATTCTTTTAAAATAAGGTGGTCAAGAAAAGTCTCTCTGAGGAGGTGTCATTTGATCAGAGACCTGACCAAAGAGAAAAAAACCAATAGGGAACGCATGGCAACTTCGGGAATAAAATAGAAATCTCTGTTTCTTTGACCACTTTGGCTAACTTAGTTAAAGAAACATGGGTCCTTGTGGACCATGAGTGGAAGGAACCAATCCAAAAGAAGGCCAGGGAGCTGCAAGATACTCAGAAGAAAGAGCCAGAAAATCAGCAGTATTTTAAAGACAAACAGTAAGGCAGTGGGATAGGTAGAGAGGGTTTCAGAAAATCTGCATGAAGACAGCAGGGGTGCTTTAACCTTGCTTTACATAGAGTGTTATTTTCTTTTTAGTTTTAATGCACTGTTTCATCTGCTTTCCCCACAGCTCAGTAAAGAGACTCAGACCTATACCTTCACCATAAGCCAAAGTGTGCTAGTCACCAACCTGAAACCAGCGACCATCAGAGTCTATGACTATTACCTCCTAGGTAAGCACGGAGATCTTACCTGCATCTCCCAACTTACTTCTGCCTTATTCTTCATGGTATCTCACTTAATTTTACAAATACTCATTCCCAAGCCAAGATTCACATAACTATACTACCTGATCTTCTAGAACATTTTAATTCAATTGTATGGTAGGTTTTTAGAAGTCTTCATGCTAGAGACATTTCATATGATGTGGTCCTTAGGCCAAGAGAACAGTGTGGACCATTGCTCTGAAAGGCCTATTTCTAATATTTTTGCTTTGATTAAAAATTCGTTAGTATCCAATGTACACACTCCTATTATGAAACTAATTTATAGCTTTCATATGAAAGCTATAACCTAATTATAGCCTAAGAATATGGGGAGGGGAGAGGTGGAGGGGATGGGAGGGAGTGGATGGGTGGAGGGAGGGTAACTGAAGGGATCACCTCTGTGGATTATCTTTCAAGGGTATAAGTGAATCTTTCTTAAAGTAGCATATAAACATCATAGCACAATAACTAAGAACATGACATGAAGGCTATGTTAACCAGTTTCATGAAGATATTTCAAATTGTATATGAAAACATCACACTGTACCCCATGATTGCATTAATGTACACAGCTATCATTTAATAAAAAAAAAAAATCTGTTACAACCTGTAAGTATGACACCCATAGTTTAAGTTCACAAATGTATCCTAGAAAAAGTGCTACATACCTGGTTGCTGAATATCACTATGGGCTCATTATTTATTTATTTATTTGAGACAGAGTCTCACTATGTCCCTTGGTAGAGTGCCGTGGCATCACAGTTCACAGCAACCTCAAACTCTTGGACTTAAGTGATTCTCTTTACCTCCACTTCCCAAGTAGCTGGGACTACAGGTGCCTGCCACAATGCCTGGCTAATTTTTTGTTGTTGTACTTGTCATTGTTGTTTAGCAGGCCTGGGCCAGGTTTGAAACTGCGAGCCCCAGTGTATGTGGCCAGCACCCTAACCACTGGCCTACAAGTGCTGAGCCACTATGGTCACTTTAAAGTCCTCCCCTTGGGAAGCTGTGCACCAATGCCAGGGTCTAGTCTACCTTTCAAAGCAATTTTGGAACTCTTTATCTGGAATGGCCATAAGAGCTCTTATCATATTACCTTTGATGTCCTGAATGTTATCAAAATGTCTTCCTTTCAGTATTTTCTTTGGGAAACGAAAAAAGCCATTGGGGGCCAGATCTGGTAAGCAGGGAGGGTGTAATACAGTTATTTGTTTACTGGCTAAAAACACCCTCACAGACAGTGCCATGTGAGCTGGTACATTGTCATGATACGAGAGCCATGAGTTGGAGGAACACTCAGATTGTTTTCATTAAACTTTTTTGCACAGCCTTTTTAGGACTTCCAAATACTAAACTTGGTTAACTGTCCATTTGATACAAATTTATAATGAACAATTCTTCTCATATCCAAAAAGGTTAGCAATATTGTTTTGACACTTTTTTTGGACTAATGAAATTCTTGCATTGTGGAGAATTGGCTGACTTCTAATGTGCACTTTGATGCTTTGTTGCAGGGTCATATTGGTGCACCCATGTTTCATAACCAATGACAACATGGCCCAAAACATTGCCTTGCCTCTCCAAAAGGTCTTGGCAAACTTTGACTCTGCTTTGCTTTCGTTCATCAGTAAGCTCCTTTGTGACCATTTTTGCAGACACCTTTCTCAAGTCAAGATTTTCAGTTAAGATTTTCCTGTTTCTTGGCTCGGTGCCTGTGGCTCAAGTGGCTAAGATGCCAGCCACATACACCTAAGGTGGTGGGTTCAAATCCAGCATGGGCCCACCAAACAACAGTGAGGGCATAAAACAGCCAGGCGATGTGGCAGGCGCCTGTGGTCCCAGATACTTGGGAGGTAGAGGCAGGAGACTCGCTTGAGCTCTTGAGTTGGAGGTTGCTGTGAGCTGTGATGTCACAGCACTCTACCCAGGGGGACAGCTTGAGACTCTTGTCTCCAAAAAAAAGATTTTCCTGTTTCTCTATCAATGTTTACATGGCCTACTATGCTCTTCACAGTCAGCCAAAGATTTTGATGCACAATTCAATGAATTTTTGCAAATTTTTTTTTGAGGTAGTCTCACTTTGTCACCCCTGGTAGAGTGCTCTGGTGTCATAGCTCACAGAAACCTCTAACTCCTAGGCTCAAGTGATTCTCTTGCCTCAGCCTCCTGAGTAGCTGGGACTACAGGCACTGGCCACAACGCTCGGCTATTTTTGGAGACAGGGTCTTGCTGTAGTTCAGGCTGGTCTTGAACTCGTGAACTCAGGTGATCCGCCCACCTTGGCCTCCCAAAGTGCTAGGATTACAGGTGTGAGCCTCCACACCCAGCTTTTTGCAATGTTTTTTTGTCAGTTCTCCTCATTACTGGTTGCCTTGGCCTTTCTTCATCAGTGATGCTTTCTCTCTCCTCTGAAAAATGTTTAATCCATTTTTACATGCCATTTTCTTCATCTCATTATCCCCATAGGCTTGGACTAATGTGTCCATGATTTCAACTTTACTTTTGCAGAGTTTAACAAGAAATTTAACGTATGTTCATTGTTCTAATTTGAGCTCCAACATTCTCATGATAGCACACAAAAACATACAACAATAATGAATGCCACTCAGCAAGACATCATCACATGTGGACACAAACACAGCTCTGAGACACTGATATGCCAAAGTTATAAAATCTTACTGAGTTCAGGGTGGCTCAGTGGGTGGGGCGCTGACACCATATACCAAGGGTGGCAGGTTCAAACCCGGCTCAGGCAAAAGTGCAACAACAACAACAAAATAGCCAGGAGTTGTGGCGGGCGCCTGTAGTCCCAGCTACTCAGGAGGCTGAGGGAAGAGAATTGCCTAAACCTAGGATTTGGAGGTTGCTGTGAGCTGTGATGCCATAGCACTCTACTGAGGGCAATAAAGTGAGACTTTGTTTCTACCAAAAAAAAAAAAAACAACTTACTGAGGTGTTTGTACAGAGTTGCCAATGTAAGTGTAGGTTGGCAAGTTTGTGAACTTAATTATCAAACCTTGTATTAGTGATAAAAATCTTATAATTCTGAATATATTCATAATTTGTAGGGATATTCTGAAAAGGATGAAATGGTAGATTTTATGAAGTATTTTGTCTTTCTGAGTTTAAAGCTCATGAAGTAATAGTATGTATGTGTCATTTTATTTTACAGGTGAGCAGGCAACAATTCAGTATTCTGATCCTTGTGAATGACGTTAAGTCCAGCAGAGAAAAGGATGGAGTTTGGGGGTAAGATAGTAGTACTCATAAGTTAAGAGGACCCTCTTTTGAGTTATTATGATTGTCTTTTGGAAGCTCATTTTTGATACAAAGTGAGTTTTCCTTTTTTGTCCTAAACTCTTTTCTTTTCTTTTTTTTTT